TTAATTGAATCTGTTTTATATTGTTAGCCAACACATACACACACACACTCGTGTGCACACACAAATACACACTGTGTGGGCCACAGTGATGGCAGAGGGTGTAATTCAAACAAGTTTCTAATATGCAAACAGTAAAAAGAGACCATAAAGTGCTGATCCCAGAAAAGGTAAAATGCCCCTGAAAACAGAGACGACACACAGAAAAAGAAATCATGACAGAGAACCGGGTTTTGGTGTAAATACACCACACACGTGCAGAGCTGCCCAGAAAATCCCTCATGGTGAAACTAATTACTACTCAACGCAGCCGATGGAAGAGAGCAGTCAGCCCAGCTGCGGGCAGCCCTGGGCGCTTTTCTTCCAATCTTTTATTTTAATTTAATTTTATTTTTTTATCGGTACCAGGGATCGAACTCACGACCGCCTGTTTGCTAGGCAGGTGCTTAAGCCGCTGAGCTAAATCCCCAGCTGAAATTCCAATCTTTAAGGAGTACGCCAGTCATTCCAACACTAGGAGGCTGAGGCAGGATAGCCTCGAGTTTAAACCCAGCTGGGCTACACATCAAGACTCCGTATCAAAAGCTAAAAATACAATAAAACAAATAAAATGAAACAGCAAAGACCCATGGCCCTCAGATCCTAAAGTTTTAAATGCCTCAAGATACTTAAGGCCTCTAATTTGTTACTACCTTGTCCTATACAAGAAAGACTGTCAGTTATTCTGTCTGATGACACCACATTCCCAGTCGCCCACTAACACAGACAACCTGAAGCACAGGGAAATCAGCAGATGCGTGCTGACATTTTCATTGGTCCTTGGCCATATTAGGACTGTTGAAAAGTTCAGACAAAGTTAGCATCAAATGCAAGAAAAAGCACGAAGGCCAATTAAACTTACCACGAAAGCAAGCTCTGAGTTAAAATGAAGCCCAGACAAGTTTTCTTCTGGAAATATTATGTCTGTCTTTAATTTAACACTGCACTAATGCTGGTAATCACTGAGATTCATCAAGTCAATTTAGATATTTCCACATTATTTTAGATTTTAATTTTAGAACACATTAGAGTTTCAAAGCTGACATTTACTACAAATTGGTATAATTATTTTCTCCAAACACTATTTAAGTAGACAATATTTTATGACTTCCTTCGGAAGGTTCATATGGTGTACAGAAGAACTCAATCTGTGAGTTCTTTTTTCCTTCTTTGATGGAAACATTCTTTTCTAAAAATGAAATAGAGCCTGGCGTAGTGGTTCACACCTATAATTCCAGCACTCAGAAGGCTGAGGCAGGGGGATCACCGTGACTTCCAGGCCAGTTTGGGATACATAGTGAGTTCAAGGTCAGCTCAAGCTCCATGGTGAGACTTTGTCTCAGAAAACCAAAAGAGGACGAGGAGAGGAAGGAGCAGCAGCGGTGGTGGCAATCCCTCTGGCCTTGCAAGGCCACCTGCCCAGCGTGTGGATGGTGCTGTGTTACAGTTTGCTCCCTGAGAGCTGACCTTAACATATTTTAAGCACATCTACGTACTGGACGCACAGCATCCACTGCACTCCTGCCCTGGGTCCCTCAGACTCCCCAGCTGCAACCTCCACTCCTACACCTGCCATCCTTCAGTTCTCAGTCCTGCATATGAAGCTTCGAGTGTGATAATTCAGTAAAGCGTTTTGGCAGTGCGGCGGGCTGAGCCTGGCAGTACCACACCACTGAGCCGCCCTCTCAGCCCTTTTACTCTGAGATTCCATCTCGCTACATTGCCCAGGTCGGCCTTGAACTTGTGATCCCCCTGCCTCAATCTCCCAAGGACTGGGATTATCAGCACCACCACCAGGCCTGGCCTTCCTAATTCTTACACAGAAGGAACTTCAGCAGGGTAACACTTTGGGTATGAAATACTGAAATATCTACTGATTTCCTTTTTCTGAGACAGGGTCTCACTATTTAGTTTTAGCTGGCCTTGAACTCACAGCAATCCTCTGACCTCAGCCTCCCAAGCACTGGGACTGGAGTTGTATACTACCACGCCCAGCTGTACTAATCTTTTTTGGATGTGAACATGTTTTCTGGTTTTGAACTCTCTGTGTAGCACAGGTACAGGGATCCTCCTGCTTCAGCCTCCCAAGCCAGCTTTTTGGACTTATATTTATTATACAGTGGGTAAAAAGTTCCCAAAACCAATTGTCACAGTGAAAAGGATGTTGGGGGGACCCAAGAACCTTCTGGGAAGCCTTGGGGAGCCTGGGTTAAGTCCAGGAGACAGAAGGCTAGGGGGATGGAAGCCGCCCTAGTACCAATCAGCCCAGGCTGTGCCACGTGGCGGGGGTGGGGGGGGGCGCTGCTCCTGAGAGTTTAGGGGCAAGGACGGGAGATGGCTCTGGCTTTTACAACACCTGAGGCCTGGGGACACCAGGGTCCCCTGCGCAGACAGGGCCCTGGGATACAGCCCACTCGAGCCACCCCAATGCCCCGCAGTTCACTGTCTGGAGGAGAATGGGTCACGTTCAACCCCGCACACCTCAACACTGCTTAGGAAACAGGGGCTGCAGGCAGCGGGGTGTGGAGAACAACTGTTGGGACTTTTCTCACTCAGCTGCTTGTTTTAATAATGCAAAGCCAAAACAATGTCTCCGTTTCTGTACCTTGGTCTATGCCCGTGAACACACCTCGACCTCTGTTTAGTTTTGTTTTGCACAGGGTCTCAATATGCTGTTCAAGCTGGTCCTGGACTCCTGGAGATCCTCCTGCCTCAGCTTCCAGAGTGTGGGGTTGGGTCCGTGCAGCACACCCGGCTAATCTGTCTGGGTTTTTTCCTGACCTGCCTCCTCTCCTGCGGACTCCTCGCTTCCCGTCCTCCCTCTCCCCCTGGGATTACGATGCTGCCCACAAGATAAAACTCATCCTAATTCGGGCTAACCCTGCTTCACACCAGCAAAGACACCAGGGCTCTCTCACTACAGAAGCACCCGGAGACTCGAATCTCTGCACCCTAGGAATCCACTCTCTCCACGAGGTCGGGGAGGCCTGCAGGGGAATCCGCCCGGGTGTCAGCAGGGCATGCAAGTGGCACAAACAGGACCCCTGTTTGTGCCCACGCTTGGCACCTGCTGATTTCCGGCAGAATATAAGCTTTTCGCAGTGGAGTCTCACCCAGACACACACACACTCTGGTTACCAAGCACACACACACTCTGGTTACCAAGAAATTAAATGTTTAGGCTTGAGCTGGGAGCTGTGGTGCACACATGCCATCCCAGCTCTCAGGTGGCTGAGGCAGGAAGATCCCTGAGTCTGAGGCCAACCTGTGCTCAGAGAAAACAAAAAACCCCAGATAAATTCTCAAGCAGTGTGTTCAAGTCCCAGGTTTGCAAAGCGAGGCAATCACCGGAAGAGATGGGTGTTCAAATGCTCAGAGAGCTTCCCGACATTTCAGCTCGCTGCCTTTGCTGTGATTTGCAACAACTGTGTGTATTTATTCTCCACGGTGCTGAAGCGGGAGCTGGGCCCTATGCCTCACAGCCTTCACCCTCTCTCACTGCAAGAGATGCAGGTCAGTCTCGATGGACAGAAGAGGACAGAGGAGAGGTCCAGGGCACACAGGGTCTTTGGAAGAGGATGGTGATAAGGTCATGAGCCAGAGAGTAGGAAAACACAGCCGCTCAAGTAGTTGAACCCACCCATACTCGGTACTAACTGCACTTTTGTTCTGTTTTGTTATGTTTTGGAGACAGGGCTTTGCTGTGCAGCTCAGACTGGCCTTGAACTCACTCTGTAGCCTAGGCAGGCCTCACACTCAAGGTGATCCTCCTGCCTCACCCTCCCAAGTGCTGGGATGGCAGGCCTGGGTCACTACACCCCATTCCAACCCAGCTTTGTGTTTTTCACTTAAAACTCTAAAAGGCTGTGAAAAAGTTAAACATCCACTGCTAGGTACAAGATATGACAACTTGAAAAATTGGGATTTTTGAAAACTTTGTCTCACTACGTAGTTCAGGCCGACCTTGAACTCCACAGGTGGCCCAGGCTGGCCTGAACTGGAGGTGACTCTCCTGCCTCAGCCTCCACAGTGCCGGGGTCACAGGTGTGTGCCACTATGCCTAGGAAGGAACTACGCTCTGGGAGCTGCAGTACTAGTAGTAACGTGGGGGGCGGGGCAGGTCTGAGAGTCGGCAGAACGTGCTCTTCTTCAGGTGGCCGCGGACAGGGACAGGGGACCCCAGACAGTGCCAGTGACAAGGGACAGGAGGGCAAGACAGAGGAGGCAGAGGCGGAAGACTGGAAGCGCTTTGCGAGGCCTGGGCACGCGGGCCATCTCAGCAATCCCACTGGCTTTCTTTCCTCAAGGGTATCCCACAAGATTAAAAACGTAAACTCGGGTATTCTGCCAGAATGTCTGTCCCCTGGCTCTTAAAATGTGCTGAGTCTCTCTTTGTGGGCTGCTGCTTTAAAGGGGACGTATAAATTCCCATCTAATTTTCGACATTTTTGGTGAGAAATGACGTTATTTATAAATCTGAAAATGTAGAGAGGTTTGTGTACGTTGGAAGGATTTTTTATCATCATGAAGCTCTTTAAAAATACATAAATAAAAGCTAAATCGGGCATGGGGGTGCACACACTTGTCCTCCCAGCCAGAACTAAGGAGGCTGAGGCAGGGAGATCTCCACATCTTGGGGGCCAGCCTGGACTACACAGTGAGACCCTGTCTCAAAAAAAAACCCCTAAAAATAAATAAACAAAAGCTATTTCATCAGTAACACCTAGAACTCTTTATGTATAAGCTCATTCAAAAGACTTAGAAAAGAGCCAGGCAAGGGGGCACACGCCTGTAATGCCAGCACTCGGAAGGCTGAGGCAGGCGTCATCCTGACTTGGAGGCCAGCTTGGACGAGAAGCCCCACTAACCCCCACCACTCCCCCGCCCTGTGGACCCTGACCCCCAGCGAAGGCCAGACTCCCGGCAGGCGACACAGGGGGCTGCGGCCAGCCCGAGACACTCACCTTGGATCGTCCTCTTGAAGAAGGCCTTGCAGGCCTCGCAGGAGGCCACGCCGTAGTGGTAGCCGGACGCGATGTCCCCGCACACCAGGCACAGCCGCTTGGGCATGGAGTTGAGCATGTACTCGCACTTGGTCTGCGGGTCCTCCACGATGGTGCTCGAGCAGTCGTCATAGAGCTTCCGCACTGGCCCGCTGCCACCCAGCAGCGGTGCGGCCGGGTAGAGGGGCGGCGAGTCCAGCCCGTTCTGGTGGCCGTTCATGGTGGAGCTGTAGCTCCCGCTGGCGTCCGAGGAGCCGCCCGGGCTGTGGTGGTTGACACTGTCCGTCAGGGAGGCCGGGCTGGAGGGTTCCGTCTTGATGAAGGACGAGCAGCTGGAGTCAATGTGCCGGTCTTTGTTGGACATTCTGCAGAGAAGCCTGCAGTGAGGGTGGCAGAGAGAGGGATAGGTCAGATACGGGGTTAGGGGGTCACCGGGAGGTGGAGCGGGGGACAGGGCTGGGGAGACGAGATAAGGGGCGGGGAACCTTTTCTCCTCCGAGACTGCAGCCCGGGGTGGCCTGAGCTCACAGTGACCCTCCTGCCTCAGCCTCCTGAGTGCAGGCATGACAGGCGTGTGCTGCCTCGCTGGCCTCAGTAACTTCTGTTAAAAGCACTGCTCCCAGAGAGCGCTTCCTAGAGGTTAGGACTGCAGGGCATTCTTTCTGCAGTCACTGGCCCTGTCCCATACAGGGCCCCACAGGGCTGCACGGGGAGGCCCAATGGCCGGGCCTCTGCCCCTCTGCTGGGAACCAGGGTCAGCACAGACACCAGTGCCCTGTGCCAGGCCCGCCTGCAAGAGGCAGTGACAGCGTAACCCACTCCTTCCTAAAACCCTCTTCCCTGCCGAGGAGCTGTCGCATTGGGGTCCAGCTGTGTCCTTAGTACCCCAGCTGCACTGCCCCATGCTCCGAGCAATTAGTGTGGGTGGGTGTGTGCAGTGCACCCCAAGTGTGCCCTGCACGTGTTCCGCGTGTGCCCCCCTGCAGCTGGGTTGCTCTGAGCCCTGAATGAGCAGAAGCCCTGTGAGCTCACGCATCTGACCACTGGGGACCTCGCGGTCTTGTGAGTTGGTCCCAAGGGTGGGAGCAGCACTGGAAAGGACAGGGGCCCAAAAGCTGAGGTCCCTGCAGTGACACCACGGGCCACGCAACCCAAGGAGCACAGGGAGAACGTTTCACATCGGATGGTGCTGAGAGACAGCCCAATGTGTCCAAGGAGCAGAAGCCAGGCATACTGGCCACCACCTGCAATCCCCGTATTCAGGAGGCTGAGGCAGGAAGATCACCGAGAGATCCCCTGAACTAAAAAGAGCCTATCTCAAAGCAAAGCACACAGAGCAGCCAGGTACTCCATGTGTGACCGCACTTCCTGCTCAGTGCTATAGGAATGTGACAGATTTTGTGCTGAAAAACTAGTATTTCTAATGATCCCTTTCCTTGACCTTTACATTCCTTTCTCTCTCTGCCTGCCTGCCTGTCTGTCTCTCTCTCCCTATCCTGGAGTTGAACCCAGGGCCTTCACACTGAACTACATCTCTAGCCTCTCTGTCTTTTTATTTTGAGACAGGGTCTCAGTGAACTGCCCAGACTGGACCTGAACTTATGATCCTCCCACCTCAGCCCCCGTTGGCTGTGATGACAAACAGGTGCCTCTTGAAATGAAATACACTGACGTATCTAGGCTGATGACATGTTCTCTCACTAGTCCGGCGGGGCAGTGGTCTCTCTGCTACACCCTGGAGCGGCTGAACCTCCGGGAGGTGCTCAGTGCATGCTGGGAGCCTCTGGGGACCCCTGTGCAGTGAGGCCCCGAGAGGGGCAGCCGGGAGAGCAACCTGCAACGGGAAGCGACTGCTGGGACTGCGTGATGTCCAGGAGGAAGCCCCAGCCACACTAGAGTGCCAGCCTTGAAGCAGGTGGGAGGAGAGGCCCCTCCGGCTACCGAGCCCTCCTCATGGGGCAGGGCTACTGGGCTCCCAGCTGGCCCTATTCCCGTCCCCTTCCCTGGTAAGTTAGCTTCACCATGGCCCTTGCACCTCAGCACTGCAGCTGGGAGCTGTAGGCTGCTGACGCAGCTGGCCCCCTGTCCTCCCCGGCCTGAGCATCTTGGGGGTGGCAATGAACTCTCCCACTCTCTGTCCACCGCCTTTCTGGGTTTTATGATTGTTATTATATTATATTTCCTTGCTGTGATTGTTATTATATTATATTTCCTTGCCGTGAACTGCTTGGTGACAGAATATCACCCAAGCTGGGGCTTGTTTCCTTCCCATTCGCTCCCTGTCCCTTTCGATGGCTCCACGGCTCGCGACCACCCTAATTTTCCGGCATTTCCTCAAGGATCTCTAAAATCTGCAGAAAAGCCAGGGGCAGTGGTGCTTGCCTGTCATCTCTGCACCTGGGAGGCTGAGGCAGGAGGGTCATAGCAAGTTTGAGCTGGGCTCCATAGTGAGTTTAAGGCGGGCCTGGATTACATGGCGAGACATTGTCTCAAAAGAAAAGACAAGACAAGAAGAAAGAAGGGAAGGGAAGCGGTTGCCAAACTCCTGACTTGAAGGACAAGGCCAGCAGCGACCCTCCCACAAATGCAGCAGTTATTTGCCAAGTCACCAAATGTCTGTCACTGGCATGGTGTTCAGGTCCCCAGATATGAAGCCTCCAACCAGCAGCCCCTCCAAAACCCCAGGCCGAAATGTTTCAGTAACCTGGAGACAGCACATGAGCCTGGGAGGCCCTGAAACCCTGGCCACTGATCGAGGCCCAGCCACCTCCCAGGGACACAGGGGAGGGGCGATGTGTGAGCTGCGGGTGGTCCTGGGTTCCTCTGAGCACTGCAGACCCTAAGGGGTCCGCCCTGAGCCCAGCACCTCTGTCTCCCGCTGAGCTCATTCCGAAGCCAAGGCACCTTGCAGGATGAGGTGGTGCACACGGGGGACTCCCACCTGCTCATGAGGCTGAGGCAGGAGGATCAGGAGTGCAGGCCAGCGTGAGCAATTTAGTGAGAGCCTCTCACAGAAAGTAAGTAGAAAGGCCTGGAGGACTGGGGGAGGCACAGTAGCATGCCACAGGCCTTGGGTTTAACCCCTAGGACTAAAAGAAAATGAAATTTCCCCAGGTACCAGGCTGGGCACTCAGCAGCGGACACTTAGCCAGCGAGCGTGAGGCCTCTGGCTCAACCTCCACTGCCATCAGAAATAAAAGAGAGTAACACAAAGCAATCCACGACATCCCTGGGAGCTGGCCTTCAGCTTTAGGAAAGTGAACTGTTCTGAGTTTACTGGGCTGAGGCACCCACAGGAATGGTAGAGACAGGGTCCGAACCCCTATCTGAGTCCTAAGCCCAGAACAAAAATGATTGGAGGCTAACAGAGATTTAATGGTGTTTACTCATGGGGAGTGGGGATTAGGGCTGGACCTCTCTGCAAAGTTCAGGCTGGTATTGAATTTACTATATAGCCAGGGCTGGGCTGGAGATCCTCCTGCCTCAGCCTCCCAAGAGCTGAGATTACCAGTATGCAACACCAAGCCCAGCTTATGGTGTTTGCTCAAAACAAAACAAACAGCTGAGCCAACAGAGATGGGGTAGCACACCCAGAGATCTACAGTATTTATTTCTCAGCAGTTCTGCCTGGGAAGGGGAGAACAAGCTCATCACACAGGTGCAGATCAGCCCCATGGCAACTCCTGGTCCCGGGCCTGAAGCACCACTGACACAGAAATCGACGAGACATGGGGGTCCCCTAAGGACTCCTGGGCCCCCAGCGCCAGCCTCCCTGCAGCCTATCACATTATAACCTAAAACACCAGCGAGTCTTAATTCTCTGGCTCTCCGTCTCTGAAATTCTACAGCTCTATTATTCAAGCCTGAAATATTCACAACTATCTATAAATTCAATTGTCAGCTGGTGGGTTTTATTCCAGACTTCACTTCAATCTAAAATTAGAGGCACTAAAATTCACATTAACTCTAAGAGGAATGCAGTGAATAGGACTTTATTTCAAAGGAACACCTTTTTGTCAGAAACAGCCATTTTCGACGTGATGGCTTTATCTGTAGCCAAAGAGAATAAGCCCAATTCCACATTGTGCTGTTAATGCAGAATCTTAGGTCACACTGGATTAATAAAAATCTAAATTTAGTTAAGAATTATGAATAGAAATAACATGTGTCAAAATATGTGGGAAATATTTATTTTAAAGCCTTCAGCCAGGTCCCTTTCATTTTATTATCTTAAGAGAAAGGATAAGAACAGGAAAGCAACGTAAACTGCTCTGCAAAAACCCAGGCCTTGGGAATAAATGACACCAAGAACAGGGCTCAGAGGCCGGGCCGTCACCCAGCAGGTCACACCTGCCTAGCAGGAGTGATGTACCAGGTTCAAAACCCACCACCAGCCTAACAAAAACACAACACAACAAAACCAAAAAATGAGTTCCTATATGAGAACTAAATTTGAGGAATTTAACATCCTTCCTAAAATTCTAGAGCCTTGAAAAGCATTTCTGGCTGAGCATGTGGCATACACCTACCTTCCTGGCACTAAGGAGGCTGAGGCAGGAGGATCGCCCTGAGTTGAAGGCCAACGAGGCTACATAGTAAGTGTAAGACAAACCTGTACTGCAGGGAGGTCCTGTCTCAAAAGAAATGAAAAGAAAGAAGCTTTTCTGATAGGGCTTAGGACACAGTCTCCAGCAAGCCTCCATATCACGCTCCCACACAGGCCCTGGCTTCCTGGCCCTGCCAAGGCCGTGAGGGTAAATACATCTGTGGCCTTAGGTAGAAGGGGTCCAAATCCCATCCCTTAGCGACAGCCCACCCACGACCACACAGGTGCAGAGAGAAAGGCTAGAGTCTCTCCAAGCTGCTACCCCAGGAAACTGAGTGTAACATTGTTCACAATGCAACCAGAGCTCATCAGTGCCGGGGATCCTGCCTAGGTTCGGGTAAAGGTGAGAGCCGGGCTGCACCCGCTCAAAGGCCTAACGCACAGGCCGCAGACCTCAGCGCTACAGCAACCTCGGTGGCCATTGCTTTGTCCATCACAGATGCCACTAGCATGTGGAACACAACTGCGTTCCATCAAGTCAAGCACACCCAAAAGTTGTACTTCCTGGCTACTTCCTTTTTCTACTAAAAAAAGCGGAGCAGAACATTCTCCTACAACACATACCAGAAGGTCATCACAGACCCTCTGGATTATTATACTAAGAGAGTTTCTGAAATGCATTGTTTGATCGATTTTTAGAGACAAAGTCTCACCATACAGTTCAGGCTGGCCTTGAACTCACAGGGATCCTCCTGCCTCAGCTTCCTGAGGGCTGGAATTACATATAAGCTCCTATGACCACCTGTAACAGGGACAGAGATTTCAGGTGGC